CCCACAATAACTAGAAACTTGATAAAAGAGCACCAATTAATTGAAGCTACTCTAGTCATACAGACATTCCTTTTGCTTTACCTGTAAACAACAGATAGAGAAGAGAAAGACAGTTTGGAGCGAATAGTACAATTGGATTACAGTGCTCACAAAAGGACATTGAATCTTATTGAGTAATCATTACATTTCCAAGAAGACACTACCCTACAGGAAGCAGGCTCCCTAAAGCTCAGAGGCTGTGAAAGGTGACATAGGGAAAGCTTTCTCTGTGGTTAGCTGCTTTCTTGCAATCATAGTATGCAAAAACAGAGAGCTGGGCTGTATTTATTCTCCTCCTCCCCACTCACCTGATCCAGATGTTTTTTTGGTGCCTGCGCAATGATTTGTGCACATGCAAGTCAAGTTTCTGTCTTTGCTCTCCATCTCAGACTGCAGATGTCACCTGTCAGTCATTCAGTTTTATCTCTCTCTGCTTCCAAGCTCATCCATTCAAAAAGAAGGTATTCTTTTTCCAGTGCAAAATATGGTCAATACACCAGGCCTGAGAACTAGCTGACGTCAGTAAAGTGGAAAGGCACATACTGTACTCACCAGAGCAACTTCTGCTGACCACACAGGAACACAGATGAACACCTACCAAAAGCCCATTTTAGCACTTTCCTGCACTTCAGGAGCAGCTTTTTGCTTCCTATCACATACAACTTCAATAATCTGCAAACCCAAATAAGGCACAGAGGCTAGACAGCAGCTTCCCAGTAACTGATACCAACTATCCTGGTGATCAGTCTCAAAAGGGCCAGTTTTCTTTTTATTTTTTAAAAGCTTTCATTTGCATGTGTAAAAAACCTCCAAGTCCTGTCCAGGCATCTCTAGCACAGGCATGTTTGAATATCAGAATTTGCATCCTGAAAGCCATGTATCTCAATGCTTTAAATTACTGTAACCCTACTCATGGAGAATACTGAGAGGCTAAGTGCTGTGCAAAAACTAATGCCTATCAGAGCAAATTCTGCCTAACAGAAATTGCCTAGCAAGTGCCTAGATTATGTGACCATCCACATATTCTAGCACCTTTGTATCATATAAGTAGAGGTCAGTGTGAACTACATGCAAAAAAAGTCCTAGGAAAATAATTGTGCTCTGTAAAATAAATTAGCACAAGATACCATTTGTCAGTGACTGGGGTAGGAGGGCACTAGCTCTACGTTAGTGACAGCTTCTGAAATACTGAGCATTTAAGCTCTCATTCTGCATTTCTGGCCAACAGAATGAGAAGAGGCCATCAAGCCTCTTGCATGTCAAATTAAACAGGATTAATTCAAATTAATCAAATTAAAGTCAAATTAATACAGGATTAACTTAATGTAAACAACAAAAAACCCACATTTGGTTCCAAATCTCAGCAGCTATATGCCTGAGTGCTTTTCCCTTAGAAGTCCCTTTGAGGACTGTGAGAAGGGACAGCGTTTGCCTGGGCTTCAGAGTCCCTTCACAATAGCTGTGCCTGGGGAGCCCTCTAGTGCAGGCACAGCAGAGGCCTACAACAGGATTTCTTGCTCGCTTTTTTTTTTTTTTTTTCTCTAATAACACCCCTTCCTTGAATGCTGTAAGTCATGCTGAGCAAGTCCTCTCCCATGGCATGCAGCTGCAGCTACACCAGCAGGTTTCCTAGGACAGCAGCATCACCTTGGACTATACATTTTTGCATGCAATCATTTAACATGGCTGGGCTGGCTGAATTTTGTAGTGTAGTTCTAGGCTGTATAAGGCAGCTTCTGTCTGGCAAAACTTTGTGGATCCTGAAGCTAGAATTATATTAGGTGTCACACATATTAGCTGCTGGGGAGAGAGCAGCAGTTAAAGTCAGGACTGAATTACCTCAGGAGAGCAGCCTTGAGAGCTTAGATGTGGACCAGAAGGATGTGCATCCTAAAAATGGCCCCATATTACATAAACTGAGATGGAGCTAGAGTTGGAGTAACAAGAGGTGCAGTACTTCATGGCTGAGCTGCATAATAGAAATGTGTGAGACCATATGGAATGTATTAGAAGAGGAGCAAAGGAAAAGCTGCAATATGGGCATGGTCATGTGGCAGGAAATAGGTATGAACACAGATTTGGGTGCACAGGCTGTGGGTGGAGAGAGACAATTCATCACCTCGAAGACAAGCACATGCAATGCCCATCTATTTGGCATCTGGGTTAACACTTTTATAAACAGACAATCACCAGCTGAAGTTACCTCTTTGCCACCTCACCCATCCATGAACTTTAAAAAGCACCTTCAGACCCTTGATTGCAGAGAAAAAGGCTTTTTCTAAAAAAAAAAAAAAAAAAAAAAAAAAAAAAAAAAACACACACACACACAAAAAAAAACATGACTATGTTGAACATTGGCTGAATTTTGGCTCCAAAAATATGGTAGGTAATGCAACATAGACTTCAGAGCACTGTCACTGAAAAACACCTTCTCTTTGGCAGCCTTAAAATATCCATCCTGTGCTTAGGCAGTTAACACTTCTCAGTTGCGGCTTTGGCATCCACAGAAACCTATACCACTCCTTTTAGTACAGATTAGGATGCCAGTAAGGTCCTTTTCTTTGTTTTCTGCTGCTCTTGCAGAGTTCCAGGGCAAGACAGAGGTGAAAATCCTGGAAGGAGATATCCGAGATGTGACATTCCTGCACTGTGCCTGCCAGGGGGTCTCCCTTATCATCCACACAGCCTCCATCATTGACACCTTGGGTCTCATAGAGAAGCAGCTGCTCTGGGAAGTCAATGTCATAGGTGAGTGGGTGGAACACCTTTTCCATGATTGTGTCTCTTAAGTGCTGATTATCAGCTGCTCAAGAACACTTGACCAGATTTTTTGAGACAGATTCACAGGTTGTGTTCTGCATCTTGCACAACCATTCATATGAGTGCAAAATATGCACATGCAAGCCCCTCTTCACGCTGAGCATGCACCAGTCCTGTACTGCAGGGAACTGCAGGATTATTCAAAGTTATCAGTGCTCAGTTCTCACTTACCACAGAATCATAGAATCATAATGGTTGCAAAAGACCTTTAAGATCATCAAGTTCAACTGTAAGCTCTCAACACCATGCCTGTTAAACAATGTCCCTAAGTGCCACATCTACACTTTTCTTGAACACTGCCATAGACGGTGACTCCACCACTGCTCCAATGCTTCACCATTCTTTCCATGCAGAAATTCTCCCTAATGTCTAACCAAACCTCCCCTGGTGCAACTTGAGGCCATTTCCTTTTGGAAAGACCTTCAGAATCATTGAGTCCAGCCATAAGCCCTTCAACATCCTGCCTGTTAAACCATGTCCCTAAGTGCCTGATCTACATGTTTGTTGAGCACTGCCAGAAATGGTAACTCCACCACTTCTTTGGGCAGCCTGCTCCAATGCTTGACTGCTCTTTTCCTGCAGAATTTTTTCCTAATATCTACCCTGAATGGTCTCTGGTGCAGCTTGAGGCCATTTCCTCTTGTCCTATTTTTGGTAGTTCTTTTGGAGAAGAGACTGACCCGTGCCTCACTACAACCTCCTTTCAGGTAGTTGCAGAGAGTGATAAGGTCTCCCCTGAGCCTCCTCTTCTCCAGACTAAATAATCCCAGCTCCTTCAGCTGTTCTTTTTAAGGTCTGTGCTCCCGCCCCTTCACCAGATTTGTTGCCCTTCTTTGGACACACTCCAGCACCTCCGTGTCTTTCTTGTAGTGAGGGGCTCAAAACTGAACACAGTATTCGAGGTGCAGCCTCTGCAGTGCCAAGTACAGGGGACCGATTACTTCCCTGGTCCTGCTGGCTACACTGTTCCTGACACAAGCCAGGAAACTGTAGGCCTTCTTGGCCACCTGGGCACACTGCTGGCTCATGTTCAGCCAGCCCCAGATCATTTTCTGTCACACAGCTCTCCAGACACCCTGCCCAAGCCTGTAGTACTGTGTGGGGTTGTTGTGACTGAAGTCACAACAGGTGCAGTACTTGGCCTTGTTGAACCTCATATATTTGGTCTCAGCCCACATATCCAGCCTGTCCAGATCCCTCTGTAGAGCCTTCCTACGCTCAAGCAGATCAACTCTTCCTCCCATCTTGCCATCATCTGCAAACTTGTTGAGGGGGCACTCCATCCCCTCATCCAGATCATCGATAAAAATATTAGAGGACTTTCCCCAGCACTGATCCCTGGGGAACACTGCTTGTGACCAGTCATCAGATGGATTTAACTCCATTCACCACGACTCTCTGGACCTGGCCATCCAGCCAGTCTTTGACCCAGCAAAGTGTCCACCTGTGTAAGGCGTGAAGTGACAGCTTCTCCAGGAGAAGGCAGTGGGAGACTGCATCAAAGGGCTTTACAAAGTCTCAGTAGACCATGTCCACAGCCTTTCCGTCATCCACTAGGCAGGTCACCTGGTCATAGAAGGAGATCAGGTTCAGGCCTGTAGTTCCCCGAATCCTCCATCTGACCCTTCTTGTAGATGGGCATCATGTTGGCCAGTCTCCAGTCATCTGGGACCTCCCCTGTTGACCAGGACAGCTGATAGATGATGGAGAGCAGCTCGGCGAGCACTTCTGCCAGCTCCCTCAGAACCCTGGGGTAGATTCCATGTGGCCCCATAGATGTGTGAGTGTCCAGGTGGAGTAGCGGATCACTGAGTGTTTCTTCCTGAATTATGGGGCCTTCTTCTGCTCTCCATAGGTGTCTTCCCCCAGCTCAGGGGGTCATGTACCTTGAGGAGAACTGTTCTGGGTGTTAAAGACTGAGGCAAAGAAGGCATTAAGTATCTCAGCCTTATACTCATCCTTGGTGACAATGTTCTCTGTCACATCCTATAAAGCATGGAGATTCTCCTTGGCCCTCCTTTTCTTGCTAATGTATTTGTAGAAACATGTTTTGTATTCTTTTACAGCAGTGGCCAGACTGAGTTCCAACCAAGCTTTCGACTTTCTCATTTTCTCCCTACATGCCCTAGCAACTTCCTTGTACTCTTCCTGATTTGCCTGCCCCTTCTTCCAAAGGTGGTAAACTTTCTTTCCTCGAGTCTCAGCAATAGTTCCCTTTCAGTCAGGCTGGTTTTCTTCTCCTTCGGCTCGTCGGTGGTGCACACGGACGGACCGCTCCTGCACCTTTATGCCCCTTCTTCCAAAGGTGGTAAACTTTCTTTCCTCGAGTCTCAGCAATAGTTCCCTTTCAGTCAGGCTGGTTTTCTTCTCCTTCGGCTCGTCGTTGGTGCACAGGGACGGCCTGCTCCTGCACCTTTAAGATTTCCTTCTTGAGAAAAGTCCAGCCTTCCTGGACCCCTTTGCTCTTCAGGGCTGTCTCTTAAATAGTCCGAAGTCTGTCCTCCGGAAATTCAACGTAGTAGTTTTGCTGACGCCCCTCCTGACTTCACTAACAATTGAAAAACCTATAATTTCATGGTCATAAGCCCACAACAGCCTCTGACCACCACACCTCCCACCAGTCCTTCTCTGTTGGCAAAGAGCAGGTCCAGCAGGCCTCCACCCCTGGTAGGCTCACTTACCAGCTTTGACAGGAAATTACCTTCCACTCATTCCATGAACCTCCTAGACTATTTTCTATCTATCTGCTGTATTGTATTTCCAACAAACATCTGGTAGGTTGAAGTCCTCAATGAGAACAGGGGCTGCTGATCATGAGACTTCTGCTAGCTCCTTGTAGAATGCCACGTCTGTCTCTTCATCCTGGTTGGGTGATGTATAACAGACTCCCTCCAGGATATCATCCTTGTTGGTCTTCCCCCTGATCCTGACCCACAAACACTGGGCTTTTTCAACACCCACCTGGAGCTCCATGCAGATGAAGCACTCCTAACATACATCGCCATCCCACCTCCTTTTCTTCCTTGCTTGTCCCTTCTGAAGAGCTGTCATTTGGTGATGAGATCTCCCTTTTTACTAAAGAGTCTCCGTTCCTCATGAAAAGATTAAATGAAGGACGGGTGATTTGTCTTTGGAATGGTGTATGTGACATCAGCAATCAGGAAATTTCAATTTATTTCCCCAAACAATAACCTCATGTTTCTTGTCCTGCCTTTCAGTCAGCTCCTTATAATGCTTAACCTCCATGCACATTGGCCTCCCTGGCTGCATTGCCTCAGCTCTTTGATGAGGATTATTACACAGATAAGGGCTTCATCACAGACAAATCATAGAATCATAGAATCATAGAATGCTTAAGGTTGGAAGCGACCTCTAGAGATCATCTAGTCCAACCCCCCTGCACACGCAGGGTCACCTAGAGCACGTGGCTCAGGACTGCATCCAAGCGGGTTTTGAAGATCTCCAGAGAAGGAGACTCCACAACCTCTCTGGGCAGCCTGTTCCAGTGCTCTGTCACCCTCACTGTTAAGAAATTTTTCCTTACGTTCCTGTGGAACTTTTGGTGCTTCAGTTTGTGGCCATTACCTCTAGTTCGGTCAGTGGCCACCACTGAAAAGAGACCAGCACCATCCTCCTCACTCCCTCCCTTGAGGTACTTATGGACACTGATTAGATCCCCTCTCAGCCTTCTCTTCTCCAGGCTGAACAGGCCCAGCTCCCTCAGCCTCTCCTCATAGGGCAGATGTTCCAGGCCCCTGATCATCTTTGTGGCCCTGCACTGGACTCTCTCCAGCAGCTCCACATCCCTCTTGTACTGTGGAGCCCATGGCCTTCTTGGCCACGAGGGCACACTGCTGCCTCATGGTCAACTTGTCGTCCACCATGACACCCAGGTCCCTCTCTGCAGAGCTGCTCTCCAGAAGGTCAGTCCCCAGCCTGTACTGGTGTCTGGGGTTATCCCTCTGCAGGTGCAGAACCTTGCACTTGGCCTTGCTGAATTTCATGAGGTTTTTCACCAAATAAGTAATATACTTCTGTGTTCTACTACTTGCAAAAATATTGGCTACTCCCCAACATCCAGACCTCTTCATTTTGGTTCAGTCAAAACCAAAAATAGAAAGCGAGCAAAGATTACAGTCCAGAAGGCAGCTTCTGAACTCGCTTCCAGAAGGGAAGGGCAAAAAGGCACCAACCTGTGCATTGAGAATTAGGAAAAATAAAGACACAGCAGTGGTAATTTGGAAAGGGCATTTATAAAGCTTTTTTTTTTTCTGCTACCATCTGTTTTTCACAGCAGAAAGTGTTGCCCAAACCCCCGCAAATATATATGTATATAAACATCCCAAAAGCAGAAAGGAGATGGGAGTTAGTGAGTTTCAGTCTGACCAGTCCATTCTTCAGGCATGTGCAGAACTAAGCAAAAACCACCCAGGGTTTCATAAATCATTCAGAATCTTGCACAGACAACACCTGATAACATCTGGTAGGATGAAAGCACAGTCCTGCTTCTAGAGTAAACTGACCCTGAGATCAGCCCAGAAATATGGGAGTCCACCTCCCTGTTTCCCTCTTTTTCCACCCTGTTGCTCTCTTGGCTTTCTGAGCCCCTAAAGGCACTGCTACATCCCTCATTGACAGGCGGGGTGGAAGTTGTGTTTCTGTTTGAAAACAAAATTCTGGCAATACAGTTGTGACAAGGAACCAGACATGAATGCTCACAATCTACAGCAGCGACAAATCCACCTTTATATATATATATATAGTGAAAATCCACCTGGTTTCAAATCTGGATCTATAAAAACAAGAGCCATAAAAGGGAAACATACACAGCTGCTTTCAGCTTCCCCATTCAGGAACAGCCTGGATATAAGCAGAACCTCACCTGCCTCGTGGCTGCTGGCCTTGCAGCAAAGCCCATGTGACTATGACAGTGGCTGGGCTAATACCTCAGAGTCTGCACTTCCTTTAACAACCCCATCCTGCACTTGAGGATCTCTGTATTTTGGGCCTTTCAGGGTGATCTCAAAAAAGTGATGCAGAAAAGCAAGTCATGTAAGATCTCTGAATCCCAGATTCAGCTGGAAGAGTGAGAGAACCTGAGTGAACTACAATTTAAACTTGCTGTGATGCAAGTTTTCTTTTTTCTGTCTCACATTCCGCAGCGAATCCCCCAGTAGTATGGCATCCTTTTAGATGCAGGTTGAGGAAGAAAACTAAAAAACTAAAATAATAATAATAAAAAAATCCAAACAAAAATATCCTCTGTCCATCAGGTCTTCAGTAAAATTCACAGAACTGATCCACTAAAGATTTGCTTTATTACATGCTATGTGAAAAAATGTTCATAACCCCATGACAGAACCTTTTGATTTTTTTATCAAACAACTGTGATTTTCAAATAACTTGGGCAAAAATTAACCTGAATAGATACCAAGTGCCAATATTATTTTATGCTTGCTTTGCCAGAATTTACTATCCCATTTGATTTTATCCAACCCTTCTGCACTTAATAGTTTTTTCACCTTTAAAATAGCATTGATGTCAAGAATAGCTAAGCATTTTCCAAAAGAGCATGGCTTCTGTGTCATACTGTTGCATGTATTCATTTTTCACATTAATTTATTTTTGGCTGTGTAACTATTGTTACTTTGCATTACATTAGTGTTTTTCAAAGCCTTGTTTAGACTGACTTTCCATTTGTCCTAACGACTTACTTTTTTCTTGTTCAAGTTTGAAAAGAAGAATCTTGGTGTCCTAACAATATTCAGCTCAATAATTCTTCCCACTCCTCACTCATTAATGGATCCATATTTTGCTGACCGTATTTCTTAGGCCTTTGAATCCCTTTGATTCATAATATTCTGTTTAGGCATACTAGCCAACATTGCATTACTGCCTTTACTTAGCATCATAAGAGAATGAGAAGACTTGTTAGAACATTTATGGGCCTCACTGCTAGTATTTAATTTTATCCCCTAGATTTTAGACCATACCCTTCTGGAGCCATTTCGTATCAGCCATTTCATACCATTCCCTTTTCAAAGATACTGTGGTCTCACTTGTATCTTTTGTTCCAAAGTCATCGACTCTATTACACATTATCTCTCTTAATTACATTGTGAATATCAAATAAGGTAATTCTGCCTCAAATCTCAGCAGAAAAAGAGTCTATTTGCAAGTGAAAAAAGTCTATTTGCAAGTAAAAAAATGATATTAAAATATTTATTTCCCCTTTGGGTGTACTTTCTTAGCCTTAACATCCTTGACTATTTGAGAGAACACAGAGTTGTTGGTTTATCTCTGCTCTTGTTATTGAAAGCATTAGGATTTTAAGACTAGGAAATCTTGTATTTTTAATGTGATATGTTGTTCACACAGCAAGTCACACCAAGAGCATTAACGCTGTGGTGCTGTCAAAAGTAAAAGACAGAATATGCAAAAAATGAGAGATAGATATATACACAAGCAACAAACTGTTCACTGCATATTGCTCAATGAGATTTGACCACATGGTATGATGCATTGCTCTGACAAAAATCATTGTTTTAAAGCCTTCCTCCAAAGCCAATTGAATGGGTATTCCCATTCAATCCAGATGGGTAAAGTCTGGATTGGGTAAAGCTGAGTTTGGACCAAACCTTCTGGTCCCAAACTATTTCCATCCCTGCTTAGCAAAACACTTAAGAGCATGCTTCAGTATGGAAAATTAGGACTTTGATATACAATATGGATAGTACTTAATGAAAGGGACAGGTTCTGAGGTTCTCTGCTTTAAGCCATGTCTCTTGAACTAATGACACAAAAAGAGAGCATCTGTAATAAGTGAAGGTACTTTGTGTCCATGCTACTGTAAGCAAGAGTAAAGTTTGACCCTTTGTATAAAAATAACATACGTAATTAGGACTATATATGAGAGCTGTAGAGGGCAGCATATGGCAGAGCTCAAGCTGAAGATGTTGCTACCTACATAACCAGCCCTGCCTAGAGAGCTCTCAGCTGGCACCTCTGTCAGCCAACCCAGCTACATGCAACGTGACTCACATGTTTCTCTTTTGAAGGTACTCAGCTACTGCTGGAGGCGTGTACCCGTTGTAATGTCCAGCACTTCATATACACCAGTACCATAGAAGTAACAGGCCCAAACTGCAGAGGTGACCCAGTTTTCAACGGTAATGAAGATACAGTTTATGAGAGTATATCAAAATCTCCTTATGCCCAAAGTAAGAAACTGGCAGAAGATTCTGTGCTGAAGGCGGATGGCCAGGCATTAAAGGATGGTGGCATCCTGCTGACATGTGCCCTGAGATCCATGTACATTTTTGGAGAAGGATGCCCATTTCTTCAGGGTCATCTGGATAAGAGTCTACTGAACAAAAATGTCTACCTACGTTTCTCCAGGAAGGAGGCTTTGGTGAACCCCGTGTACGTGGGAAACATCGCCTGGGCACATGTACAGGCAGCCAAAGCCCTGCAGGTCCCGCAGAAAGCCAAGCACATCAGGGGGCAGTTCTACTACATCTCTGATGACACTCCTCATATGAGCTACGCTGATCTAAACTATGAGCTGACTAAGAACCTGGGATTTGGAATTGAACCCCGGCTCCCCATGCCGCTGACAATGCTATATTACTTCTCACTGCTGCTGGAGACAGTGAGCTTCTTGCTCAGGCCCTTTGTCAAATACATCCCGTCTACCAACCGCCACCTGGTTACGCTGCTGAACACCCCATTCACTTTCTCTTACAGCAAGGCACAGAAGGATTTTGGCTACATGCCCCGCTACACATGGGAAGAGGCCAAGCAGTGCACCAGTCAGTGGATTGCTGCCATGGTCCCACAGAGAAGAGAGTACTTGAAAAGCAAGGCTGCCTAGCTCTTGGTTGGAGTTGAGACCTGACTAAACAAGCAGGCCGACAAGCTAGAGGAGAGCTAGGAGAACAGCAGCAGCAGCAAACTGCAAAGCATTTAAATGGAGAATTTGTATAACATTCCACCATACCCACCTCAAAATAAAATAAAGGTGAAATGTTCACATTTTTGTGGAGAACGGGCTAATCGAGTTCACATTACTGTATAGCTCACACCCACATTGACATCTTGCATGGCACAAATACACATTTTAGTAAGACTCCGCAATTTAAACACATCAACCCTTCTTTTTACTTCACTCCACTTTTAAGACTTCTGGAAAAGCAATCAGGGCACATTTCTGTCCTAGAACTATGACTGTACTGCATAAATAAGTACAAATAAGCTTGCTTACTCTTAAGTCACTGAGCTCTTATCAGCCTTACTGAACATTCAGCAGGTAGAAGCCACATTATTGGAAATGGTGTTACAGCTTTTCAAGAACAGTGTCCAGCTTTGTCTATCATTCACCTGTCACTCTTGAGAACAAATTTGGGCATAGTAAATGTGAGACATAAAGCACTATCTAAGTTAAGTGCAACATAGCAAGCAGGATAAGGATAGATTACTATCCTTACTAACTGGGGAGGAGGGCGGGAAGAGAAGGAGGCTTTGGGCCAGCTTAAGGCTGTTCCTCATTCATTCTCATTTTCCTAGTTACTGATTTTGCAATAAATGTGGTGGCTGCCCAACAGAACAATAGCTTTACCAAAATGAAAAACAAAAATATTCCAGGACAGTCATGGTCACCAAAAAGTTTCCACTGCAGAATCAAGACATTCATGGACACTGGGGAAACAAACAGTACTGGAAAACAATTTCATGCTATTTCCAGCTCTCGACTGGGGAAAAAGGTTAACATTAGCAGATAAGAGACACATGGGCTACTCTCATGCTTTTCTAATGGTCCTGTAAGTTTCAACAGAAAGTATAGCTTTATTTCACAGCAAAAAAAATGCAGAACTTGTCTGAGTTCATACTCTTTTAGATGTGATCCAGCATTTGCTGCTTACATCTACTTGCTGAAAAGAGCCCTAAAGGGTAGGACTTTCTCTGTTCTCTTCAGGATGGTGAAGGTTTCCTCTGTGAAACCCTTATTAGTAGGCACACAGATCTATCTTATTTTGAAGGAGAGCTATTAATAAAGCCCAGGCTCCCTATGTTGCCAGGGCAGCAAAGCTGAGCACTCATGCTCAGATTAGTATCTACCAAGTTCCCAGGTTCTTTTCAGCAGAGCTACCTCCAGCCAGCCTGCTCCCAGCCTGTTTTTGCAGGCTTCTCCCTTCCCAGATGTATGACTTTGTGTTTGTCCTTGTTGCATCTCTTAAGGATGCTGTTGTCTATTCCTCCAAATAGACTAGGGACCTCTGAATGACAGGCTTGCCCCCAAATGTATTGGCTGTTCCCCCCAGTTTCGTGTCATCCGCAGACCTGCCAAAAGTGTGCTCCATTGCCTCCTACCAGTTCTGCTGAACAGAACAGATCCCAGAACAGTACCAGCCTCCTAATACAGTATGACCTGCTAACCACTAACTGCTCTAAGCCCAATCACCTACACAGGCTTTTTGCTCATCTTGTCCATCTATCCAGACTGTAACATCCTATCTTGTATCCAAGAATACTAGGGGATTCAGTGTCTCAAAATCATCGCTAAGGTTAGGACAGATGACAATAACCCCCCTTTGTTCATGCTTTGTTCTCCTCCCATCATGAAGTCATGCCTGTCTTCTGTTTCCATCCACTCCCCACTTTCCCATTCTACTCCCTGGCAGATGCCTCTGATGGAGCTCTGTTCACCTCCTGTCCACCAGATCTATGCACTCTTCCTTTTCTTCATGTTCTCTGTCTGGATCTCTGTGATGAAGATCTGTTCATGCCTGCTTCCTCTCCAGCCCTCACCATTCACGGTCTTTACCCCTGCAATCTCCTGAATTTGGGGAAGTTTTTTCACCAGACTACTCCAACAGAACTTTGCTCTACACCTATTACCTCTCTTCACAGTTTGTTCCCTTCCATTGCCTTGTTTGCCTTCTGTTCCCTTCCAGACTTCTAATTTCTCTCAGTTACCTCCACTCTTACTCTGTGCCCCGTCAGTCTTTTTTTTTTTTCAGACACTCTTACCTTCTCTTTACTACCTTTGTGCTTTACTCTTCTCTAGGACCACTGATTCCTGCTCTTTTCCCCACCAGGTTCTTTCATTCGCACCCTGGCCCTCCTCACATTCCTCTATTCAGACTGTCATCATGGTGAGTTTCCTATATTCACACAGCCCATCTTTCAGTTCCCTCCACTCAAATCTTGTTCCTCTCCAGAGCTGTTTACACTGTTCCCCTACAATCTCCACCATTCACTCCATTTCCTTCCAAACCCCTTCACTTGCAGGCTGTTTGCTTCCAGTCATCCCCATCCATATTCTGTTCCCCTTCAGTTGCCTATTTTCATTGCACTCTAAGGAAGAGCTGTTTGTGCATGTTGTAAGCCTCCAAAAGGCTCCAAAATATTAAATATTTGCAGCACTCTGAGAGCTGCTAGTAAAATTCCAGATCAGCTCATGAATATTTACATATTCACGGTTATCTTGATTGCCTCCAGGGTTGAATAAGACTCTCAGAATGAATGAATATAAAAAAAATACTACTGAAGATGGTTATCCAACTCTGCTTAGAAAAGCTAAAGGAGGTGTTTAACCAACAGGGACACTAGCATCCATTATTTTTCTAGGCAAGGAAGACTTCATTCTTTTCTTCATTGAAACTGATGATGAGGAAAATCATGTCTGCTCTGTCACTACAATATAAAGGACAGTCCAAGTACACAGAGAAGACAGGAGGAGAATGACCAAAGAAGAGTCTATATTTAATAGAAAGACCCTTAACACACCAGAGCTTGAACATTACAAATGCATTAGACAACTGGGACATTCTTGACTAGATTTAACTAAGCTCCTAAAATATGTACAGATGCTGTCAAGAGAGAATAAAGGACCTTTTTTCTTCCACATGTCCATGACTCATTTCTCAGAACAGACTCCAGTTGTTCGAGCTTACTTTTTGCCTCTTAGTAAGACAGTGAGATCTTCTCTCTTCAGTGGCTACACTCCCAGAGAACAGTTTTCTTATCCCCAAATTCCTTCTTCACTGAAGTTTCTATTTCTTGCTACCCAGCCATTCCTTAAATCTCCATATCAACCCAGCCCTCCTGACAGCAAGCTTATTCCCACTTCTTACCCCTACCACCTCATCAGTTCTACAATGTTCTTGCACTATGGCCCCCTCTAAAGGCGCTTCTTCATTCTTTCAATCACCCATGAAATGTATGCATGCGATTTTTTTTTTAATGCAGGACAGCAATGCTCACAGGCCAAGGGACAAGGTGTCTTTTTGTCTATCATCTCAGGTGCAGCTTACAGTGCTGGGTGAGGTGAACCTTATTTTGGAAGCTCTTCCCGCACTCAGCACACAGAAAGGATCTTTCTCCCGTTGTGAACTCTCTGGTGTCTGCTGAGGTGAGAACTCCGGCTGAAGCATTTCCCACATCTGGAACAAGTATAGGGTTTCTCACCTGTGTGGGTTCTTTGATGCTGAGCAAGCGTTGAGGAATCACTGAAGGCTTTTCCGCATGCCATACATTCAAAAGGCCTTTCGCCAGTGTGGGTTCGCTGGTGGTTTCTAAGGTGGGAGTTGCGGCTGAAGGCTTTCCCACAATCAGGGCAACAGTAGGGTCTCTCTCCTGTGTGTATTCTTCTGTGGGTGGTAAGGTGGGAGCTCACACTGAAGTTTTCTCCACACTCACTGCATATGAAGGGCTTCTCACCTGTGTGAGTTCTCTGGTGCTTAAGTAAATCAGAATGCCAGCAAAAGCCTTTGTTACATTCAGTACATTTGTGAGGTTTCTCACCTATCTGGGATATTTCATGTTGCAAAACATCTGACATCTGAGTGAAGACTACCTCACACTCACTGTATTCATAGAGATCATCCCCTATAGAATCTTCTTGATCAAGGATGCTGTGAAATTTTCCAAAATCTAATTCTAGATGAACACTGTTATCCTTTGTCTCCCCAAGGGAGTCTCTCTTGTGCATTTTTAGTATGTGCTGTCTCTGGTAGGCCTCTTCCTTGCCACATTTCTGGAATACACTCTCTTCAAATATCTCCAGTAATGTCTCATATTGTTCTACATGTTCAGGGTCATCTCCTGAAGGGCTGTCCTCTTCATTCTCACTAATGATCTCATCGTCTTGGTGAACAAGAAGCAGGGATTAATTAATGCTCAGCAAGAGAAGAGAGAGAGAAACATAATTACGGAAGGTGAGCCTTTACTAAATCCCAGTTAATGGTTGAAATCAGAAAGTAAAAATCCCTTCCACATCCCCTGATATAAGATCATTCCCTTCCTTAGTGTCTGAAGAATAAAGACAGATGAGGAAAAGATCCAGAAGATGGGAGTGGTGGAAAACTGCGAGTGTGCCTTCTTGGTGGGAGAACACTGGCTGTAAACTGAATGCAGAGGCTTTACTTTACTGAGATGAGGAATTAACTTCGCGAACCCCTCACCTGCAGAGATCTCACTGAGAAGATCCCTCTCTGGCATCTCTGGGACAGCTGGCACGCACAGCACTTCCTCTTGATCCATGCAGAGATGGCCACTGGCACAGGTCCTGCCTGTGCCAGTGAACAAGACAGCAAAGCACCAGTAATCACCACCTGCCCTGTTGCTTGGGAAGGGAAGGCTCCCTGTCCTTCCTGCAGATTACCTTACTCTTTTTACCTTTCTTCCTGTCCAGGAATCATGTGAGTGAACCTGGCCCTCTCCCTCATGCCACCATGTGCTAAAGTTGGGCTGAGAAATGCTGAACCAGAGCCTTAGCAAGGCTCCGGGTAGGCACAGCAGCAGGCCAGGGGAAGGAACCACTTCCTGGGCAAGGGCAAAAGGCAGTGGGGTGGGATGCGGGGTGGCCTCCTGGCAGCTGCCGCCAGCCAGGACAGGGCCTGTCCTGCCTCCACGGGAAAGGGGAAGGTTTGGAAAGGAGCTGGTGCCAGAGGGCAGTGGCTGGATCGGCTGCTGCCCCCTGCCCAGGAGGGCGCTCCTGGGGGCGGCCAC